GGGGGAGGCTGAGACCTGGGCACATCCTCGTCTCGCCCTCAGGAAGGTGCCCTGGAGTCTGGGAGGTCCAGCGAGAGGCCCCTGCTGGGTCCGTCCTGCTCAGCAGCTGTGTGGCCTTGGGACACCACTTGACCTCTCTAAGCCGGACTCACCTCCTCCGTGAAAGAGGACTGAGACCAGTGAGGGGGGAGGGCCCCACGTGCAGAGTGCCAGCACAGTGTTGGCTGCAGCCATGCTCAGTCAAGGGCAGCTGGACAGGCACGTGTCCACCTCATGGGTGTCCAACTCGCCCGGGACTCCCATCTCACTTGCGCGGCCATTCTGGTGTCTGTGGCCTGGCAGCGCCATAGGCCGCAGGCCCATTCAACACTGCTCCTCTCCTCCTGTGGCCCCATGAAGACACTCTTGGGCACCGGGTGAGGATTCCGCTGAAAGGCCAGGCATGGTAGCGCCTGGAATCCCAGCACTTTGGGAGGCCAAGGAGGGAGGCTCACTTGAGCCCCAGAGGTCGAGCCTGCGGCACTCCAGCCTGAGTGACAGAATGAGGCCCTGTCTCTAAAAAAATCAATAAATGAAAAATAAAAATAGAGGAAAACCTTGTGGGCCCACACACGAAGCCCCCCAAGCAGCACACGTGGACGGCGTGTCGTCAGCACGGGAAGCAGAAGGGCTGCCCTTTCTAGAACCCTGGCTGCCAGAGTCCCTACAGAAGGATGCCAAGTCACGTGGGGCGCCGTCTCTTCCCAGGTGGACGCGGCTGTCCCCTCTGCCTGCAGCTGCTGCTGCTGTTCCCGGGGCTCCTGGTGGTGTTGCTCATCCTTCTCGTCCTGGCCTGGTGGACACAGCGCTCCTGCCCAGGAGGTGGGCCCAGGTGGCCTCCTGGGGGGTGGGCAGAGAGTGGGTGGGTGAAGGAGACGAGGACATAAGCTGATAAGGTCCTTATGTCCTAAAACCCACAAGCTTGACGAGGTCCTCGTGTTCCTGGCCTGGCTCCAACAAGAGCTTGACCAGTACTTCCTTCTTTGACGTTTGCACCGGAGAGTGTTGATTTACTAGAAATCAGCTGGTGTGACCTCTAGTCTGCGTAGTCTGGATGTGGCCTGGTTTGATCATAACTTTACTTACTAGAGTTTTTTTAAAAACACAAACGTTAGTGGTTTTACTTTAAATCATTAACAACATGAACGTTAGTGCTATGGTAATCTTGCTGAGAAAGTCACGAGCATTAACCTTTTTCCTGTTGTTGCTAGCATTAAGATATTTCCTCTGAGGTGAGTGGATTGCCTGAGCCTGCGGGTTCGAGACCCGCCTGGGCAACTTGGTGAGACCTCATCTCTACAATAAAATAAAAAATTAGCTGGGCGGGGTAGTGTGCACCTGTAGTTCCAGCTTCTTGGAAGGCTGAGGTGGAAGGATCGCTGGAGCCCAGCAGGTCAAGGCTGCAGTGGCCAGGAGCGGCCAATGCACTCCAGTCTGGGTGACAGAGTGAGACTCCAACTCAAAAAGAAATTTCCTGTTTATGTAGTTTGGCCCTATATAAGGGACATGCTGGGAGAATAAAATCGCTCTCACCTATTGAGGTGAGAGACCTCCCAATCCTGCTGTTCTTTGTCTTTCTTTCTCATTCCCTCCTCAGGCCCCGCTCTCTGGAGGCTGGAACTCCGCAGGTGGGTGCAGGGGGTCTCAAAATTGGGGAGGGGGAGACAGGGGAATGCAGCCCACCAGGACTCCCCCCTCAGTGCCCCTGGGGGTAGAAGTTGCCACTCAGTAGGTGCAGGCACCACAGGAGCAGCAGCCTCCGAGGCTGTCTCTGCTGCTTGCCCTCTTGGGCGTGTACTTCTCTTTGCTAATAAGGCTACTCACTTGTGCAACTTTGCCCATTTGCACATTTTTTCCAAACTCGAACATAAGAACCTGGTTGTCAGCATCAAGCCACCATCCCATGCTGGGAGCTGCAGCCCATTGCCATGTAGCTGATTTTGGGAGCTCGTCCGGGATCCTTGACAAGTGAGATCTTGTCAAGCATCGGTGAGTCTGAGTCTGCACCTACAGGCTGGGGCATTATGCTCCGTTCTCACCACTGTCTAGCCAACTGTCAGCCTTCCCGATTGCACGGCCTCATGGCTGCTGCCACACACTACCTTTTCTCTAGCAAAGAGGTTGGAGTGAGAACTGCCTGTGTTGCAGCTGCCTGGCAGGGCCCCGGATGCTTGTGTTTTGTGTCTGTCTTGGGTTCTCCCCACTAACCTTCTGAGGTACCTGCAGCCACCTCCTCTCAGCTTCAGACTCGCTGTTTCCCCTGGCTGAGACTGTTTTGGCTCACCTTGCTGTGCAGCTTGCAGAGGCAGTGGGGCTTCTGGTCCATACTGAGTGGGATTGGGGTCTTGGTGCTATCCTTGATAGGAGACTTGTGAGAGTGGTGAGGGCCTCCCCTGTGCTGTGCAGTGCCTGAAAGCCTTGAGGTTGGGAGGCTTTCTTCCAGATGTATCTAATCTGACTGTATCTGACCTTTAGTCAACTCCCACCCTGACTTTCCTGTGACTTATTGGTGTCTCTTTCTGCCATGTCTCGATTGTCACACTGGCTGTCATGGCCTCTGTGTCCGATTGCTGCTGCCCTGAGGGGCCTTACTGCTGTCTCTGCCAAAGGAATAAACAGTGAGTCCCATTTCTCAATCCCTTCCTTTATTCTAGCCCTCACTGTCTTATATGTGTCCTTGAACATCAACCTAATAGCAGACCTCCTGCCAAAAGCTCAAGGCATAATCTTCCATTCCGGGGTAAAGGCTACGTCTTCTCGGCATTCCTCCAACCACTGCTACGATAGTGGGTGAAGCTGTCTGTGGGCTTGACCCAGCCAGCCCTGTCCCAGACCAGTCTCCCAGTTTCATCTTGTTGGTTTTGTTCATGTGATTCTTGTGAGTTACAACAACTAGATAATAAGAGTGTGTGGCAGAAGGACTGATCATGGGTGGGCAAGGATCTATAAGGCTTTGGTGCATGTCCAGTCATGACCCTGTATCCCCACATGGAACAGGCCTGACAGGAACTCATGGGCACTGTGTGTCCCTCCAGTGAACTCGGGAATTTCCCCTGGTCCTAGCTGCAGCTGAAACCCAGGTAAATTCGGGCTGTGGAGCTGCAGATGCTGGTGCTGAATACAGGGCTGAGGACACCTGGCAAGCAAGGCAGACAAGCAGTCAGTGCTGGGGACGCTGGCGACTCCTGCTCTTTGGGGCACCATGCACCAGGGACAAGTCCCTCCCTCCTCCAACCACAGGGAGCCGGTTGTGCCCTCACGCGGCCTGGGCTAAATGCCGCTCCCTTCCTTCTTCTCTTCTTTTCCAGGCATGGAAACCGGCTCATCTGTTCCATGAACACTCCACAAGGTTGTATATTCAAGTGCTGGTCACACTGCCACATAACCTTCAAGAGAAACAGCTCCGTTTTCCTTCGCAATATGGCCTGGCCACAATACAAGCTAGGGGGTGGGGAAACTTAAAAAGTTGATGGGAGCGTGAACTATAGTGCCATCTTACAAATGGGTCTCTTTCGCAAGAGACAGAGTGGCACATGGATCCCCATGTGGAAACCGTCATGGCTTGGTACCAAAACCCAGATACAGGACTCAACCTGCCCCTCTGCCCGTGTGTTGCCTAAAGAGCAGGCTGAGCTTGGTGTCCTGGATGCCCTGCTCCTGATGAGAGAAGAGGAAGGAACTGGTCGGGCAGATCATTAGGGCGGGTCCCCGGCGGAGCTTCCTCAAACCCGGAGTGGTCTGGCATCTGAAGGACCAAGCTATAGGTTCCCGACGGAGGCCACGGACCCAGAGGGAGAACTCCCGCTCCTCTTGCTGTGCTTCCCCCGATTGGTCCTTTGTGCTACTGTGGCTCTTTCGGATCAGTGCGTCTGCAAGCCCACCTGCCAACCCGTCAGCACGCACTTCCCCATCTTGAGCTCATAAATACCCTCGAACTCAGCCACATCGCCGGCAATCCACTTTCAGGTTCCCTCTTGCAGCCTAGAGCTTTCCTGTTGCTTAATAAACTCTGACTTTCTCTCTCTTTGGTGTCCACACTCCTTGCTCTTCTTGGTCATGAGACAAGAACCTGGAATTTGTGGAACTAAAGGAGTTGTCTGAACTAAAAGAGCTGCTCAAACTAAAGGGGCTGTAACATTAAGAGCTGTAACATTTCCAGGCTGGGTGCGGTGGCTCACACCTGTCATCGCAGCACTTTGGTAGGCCTAGGCGAGAGGATTGCCTGAGGCTATGGGTTTGAGACCAGCTCGGGCAACTTGGCAAGACCTCCTTTCTACAATAAATCAAAGCAAGAAACAAAAAAACAAACTAGCTGGTCATGGTGGCGCATGCCTGTGGTTCCAGCTAATTGGAAGGCTAAGGCAGAAGGATCACCTGAGCCCAGCAAGTCAAGGCTGCAGTGGCTGTGATCGTGCCACTGCACTCCAGTCTGGGCAACAGAGCGAGACTCCAACTCAAAAAGAAAAAAAAAAAACATTTTCTGGGGAATCCCCACAAGAATCCGGAACTTGCTGAACTTGCTGAACTAAAAAAGTTGTAAGGCCGCAACATTCATGCCCCGGCCCAGGTGCTGGGTTAGCAGGAGCCATAGCCACACGGACTCCAAGGGACTCAGCCTCATCACTTCAAATCTCCCAGGAAGTCCTGTGGCGACCTCTCCTGCTCCCCTGGGTCCTCCTCCTGCTTGTCAGGAACCTAAGCGTCAGTTGCCAGGTGTCCACCCTTCTTGGACTAGCCCTGCTGGTACTCACAGTGGCGTGCTTACCAGCCTCCCGCAGGACATCTGTCCCCTCTCCTTGAAGTGCCAGTTGGGGAAGGGGAGACTCCCGGGGCATGTCCTTTTCTCCACGAGTGATCTAGGACTATGCAGGAAGAAGTCTAGCAGGTTCTCTGAAAACCCTAAGTTTGTTAATAAGTTTGCAAAGTTAACTTTGTCATTCGACCTTATTTTGAAGAATATCCAAGTCGAGCCTGTCAATTATAACACAATCAGGGAAATCACTCAGGAAGACGACGAGAACCTGGCTCTGTTCCAGGCCAGGCTGGTGGAGGCCCTAAAGACATAAACAAAAGTGGGCGGATGCTCAGTCAGGATGCTCAGGATGGGCAGATGGCTCTAAATGCCCTTTTTTTTTTTGAGTTGGAGTCTCACTCTGTCACCCAGACTGGAGTGCAGTGGCCGCTCCCGGCCACCGAAGCCTGGACCTGCTGGGCTCCGGCGATCCTTCCGCTCAGCCTTCCAAGTAGCTGGAACTACAGGTGCGTGCTACCATGCCCAGCTAATTTTTTGATTTATTGTAGAGATGAGGTCTCGCTGCCCAGGCGGGTCTCAAACCCACGGGCTCAGGCAATCCACTCACCTCAGCCTCCCAAAGCGCGGGTTTACAGGCTGAGCCACTGAGCCTGGCTTAGCATCTCTTAAAAACTATACAACAGTCCCAAGCTGTTGCTGTCATGCACTGCAAATATCAAAGAAACCACAAAGTCAGCAGAGGAAGCCGTCTGGTTGACACCACTGCCAGGAAGGGAGCAGAATCAGCTACTTCCCAAACGGGGGGGACCCTAGACAGTGCTTCTAAGTGCCTCCATGGCAGTTAAACTCCAAGGAGTGAACATTTGAATACATATATCCAGAATAAAACCCTTCTCTGAGTCTTTGCAGGATGTCAAAGAAGACAGTTCTCAGAATCCTCAACCTGCAATCACAGACCAAGAGTACACTGGGAGCCCATCAAACTGAAGTTCCTCTTTGAAAGAAAGCCCCACCCCCAGAACTGCCAAAGGGAGGTAAAAGTGGTGACCCTTGTCTCACCATTGGGTCA